CGATCAAGCCCCCGGCGAAATAGCTTTTGCACACCCATCTTGGGGAACCGCGGGCAGGATGAGCTGAACGTTGTCTTTAGGGAACGTTGTCTTCAGGGCGCAGACCTTTCAACATACGCAGCCTTCTCGAGTCAATATTGAAAGAAACGTCTTACCTTTTCCTTCGCCACTCGGGCTCCCGCAGCACTCCGCCAGCAACTGCTCGGCTGCACCACCTGCCGACCACGCCACGCAAACTTCGCAGAAAACCGTTGGCCATGCACTGCGAAGACGATGCCCATTACATTGAATGACGTCTGCGCCAGCCCACTCAGAGACTATATTTTCGCCGACGTCGCCAACGCCCTCAAGCGTAGCAGCTGCATCCAACGCCTCCATCACGAACCTGCCAGCCTCTGGGATCCGATAGGCTGTGCCACAACCAAACTCCACCATAGCTTCAGCACGTAAAGCGTCGAGGTGGGTCGGCTGACACGGCGCCCTGAGCCAGAGGTTTCAGGCCGCCTTAGAATTGCCTGCCGCACGTTTGGCACACTGCCCGCACACGAACGAGTCATCCGAGAACTTCGCAACAACGCGCGAGGTCACCTGCACGGGCGTTATGCACACCCCCACTGGCTTGAGCATCACGTCTGGGAACTCGGGCCCCCACTTGCCAACTCGCAGCGCACGCTGCATCACCCCATCGATTTAGGCAGCTGCACGCCTGGCGAACTTCAACTCGATCTTGTAATCTTCCTCCTCGACCTTCGGCGCCGAATGTGAGTCAGCACCTCGTCGAGCAAACCAATCAGCCCACGCATTGCCCAGGTAGAGCAGTGGGCTGAGGCCGTTGTCAAGGTAATCGCCCACGTCCTTGTGAGCAGGGATCAAGCTCACGTTCGGCCTAACCGGCTGCAATCTGAGGCTGCGCCAAATCCTAGCGTGGACCGCCGTGGCAGACTCGAGCTCATGGCCCCAATGTAACGCCTCCGGCTCGAGCGCCAGCAAGTCCGTGAACACACATTGCAGGTTGGGCCCGAAGAGCTTCGTCGCCATCAGGAGCGCGTGCCGCTCGGATCTTCCGACCGTGTGCAGCGGCCCAGGTAATGGCCGAACGCTGCTCTAATCGGAAAGCCCTGCCTCGCAAACTGCACCACGGCCAAGCCGCGCCTCGTGAGTTCAGGAATGGAGGAGGCTAGGCCTGAGCCGTCCGTGAAGACAGCATTCCCCAAGAGCTCCTCGGCCGTGGTCCAGTCGCCCCAGCAGCGCGCTGGAAATCCGCCAGCCACCTTAGGAAGCGTGGGCGGCATGCGGGGCAGGCGCGCCCCCAGCTCGAACGTGCCCCAAATCGGGCCGGAAAGCTGCTGCATACCCGCGTCCCTCATGTAAGCGTAGAAATCGGCGAACCTCTCAGGAAGCACATCGCCTGCCTCCTCAGCGTCGTCCTCGGGGTCGGGAACGGGATCGCAACCGAAGAACCTGCGACCAGAGGTGTCATTGGCATGCCCACATGCCAGACAAACTGGCGACTTGACAAGCTGGAAGTCATACTGCCTGCCTCGTCCACGGCACACCTAACCAGTGAGCCCGTAAACTTGACGCCTGCGGCCCTTCGCTGACCGCAGCACCTTTCGCACCAATGCACTGCCTCATCGCTCGAACCCCTAAGTGCGCGCGGTCGCCGTTGGGGTGCTCGAACCAAAAAGAACGGTGCTGACTGGGCCAGATGACATCGCAAATACTTCGGGCTGGCAACCAAAAGATTGAAGTGCTCCTCGCGAACTTTGACCAACACCGCGGACGAATGCATGAACCAATCAATGTGCCAAAGAGACGGAATCGTAGAAGATATGGGCCCCCTCGTTCCCCTCCAAGTAGTCTTGCCATCACCGACCATCTTAGTCGTGATAGCTGTCCACGCATGATGAAACTGACTGGGGGGGGGCTCGACTTTCCCATACTGTTGCCGCACATCGGCAGAGCAGGTCGCAGGTGGCCATGTAGATGGGGCCAAACTCTTCAGAGCGCTGCGTTGCTAGATAAAGCGTGAGACTAGAAGAGCCTGGCCTCGATCCCACAAGACGGTCAGCTTCTGCACGCACCTGGCTGAGATGATGCTCACTGAGGCCAGCAACACCAGCACCATGCCCAGCACTTGGAAGCAGCCCCGTCCTCCATAAGCAGATGATATGGTTGCCCGCTGCTGAAACATCTTGAGCCGCCGCCGGCGTGCAATAGCACCAGCGATACGTCGACTCGTAAGCTTTCTGGGCTTCATTTTGCCACATGTCATGCCCGAGATTGCGAATCCAGCTTCGACAAGTCAAACCTTTGGCAACCCCATGTTTCTCGCACGCAGCAGCCACCTTCGACGGCGAGGGGATGTAGCCTGACTTATACACCTGACTGATTCTGACTGACGATGCCCAGCTAATTTGCACCCTCTCTGAAGCGCGTGACCGCGGCCCAGAAGCTCCGGAGCTGGCCGAGGGCACCGCCGATCCACTGGATGCCGATGTCATCGATGAGCGCCCGCGGGATAATAGACGGCAACCTGATAGACTTCACAGCCTGCGCAGCAATACTGAGACCAAGAGATATGCGCGAGAACAGCCTGCCAGGATCGCCTGGAAAGCTACCACAGACTCGCCAACTGAACCGAAAGCCCGGAGCCGACGAGGTTGGCGATACAATTCTACTAGCATCCATGCCAGCCGGAGGTCCACGTCCAAAGTTCGAGACTCCTTCAAGAGCGCCTGCGGCTGAATGGTCTCGGGAAACTTGCAGGCGTCCATCATCGCAGTGAGCGCGTGAAGATTGGCAGCCCCAGCAATCTCCGTCTCCAAGTTGAGCTGGAAGGCTGAGTCTCTGGAAGTACGCCCAACGCCAAGCCCCCAAATGTCTGTACTGGAGTGCCGACGGATCCAATCCGCGGCAACTGCAATTCTAGACGCTTCGCGTATCCCCACCAGCCCGTCCAGAAATGAGTCCCAGGGGAGTGGAGGTTATGAGGGAAGCGGGGGAGCATGCAGAAGAACAAAGGGCGGGGTGAGCCGCCATATCCCCCAAGAGGGGGAGGATGTAGGAGGAGCCGTCGTCGTCGGAGTAGGAGGAGGAAGAGGAGGAGTAGGAGGAGGAGCACGAGGAGGAGCAAGCGGAGGAGGAGAAGGAGGATAAGGAGGAGGAGATGGAGGACTGCGAGGACGAGGAGGACGAGAAGGAGGAAAAGGAAAAGGAGGAGGAGGAGGAGGAGGAGGAGGGGGAGGGGGAGGAGGGAGGAGGAAGAAAAAGAGGAGGAGGAGGAGGACAATGGCGAGCTTGGGGGCCTCTTGGGCCGTCTTTGGGGCCTCTTGGCGGTCCCGGGGGCCTCTTGCGTATCTCGGGGAGCCTCTTGTGGCCTCTTGGGGGTCTCTTGGGGGCCTCTTGGAGGCCTCTTGGGGGCCTCTTGGGGCCTCTTGGGGCCCTCTTGGGGCGCTCTTGGGGCGCTCTTGGGAGCCTTCGAGGCGCTCTTGGGGCCATCTTAGAGGAGATCTATCAAAGAAGGGGGGGTCCCCAATTAGCGCTGCCCCTCTAAAGTGCCTCGAATCGCTTCTTGGGCCCCCCAAGAGGCCAAAATCTTTCCAAAACCTAAGGAAAATCAATGTTTTGTGTTTTCTCGCCTCTTTCTTGGGCCGTCTTGGAGCCTCTTGGGCCTCTTGGGGGCCTCTTGGGGCCTCTTGGGCGCCTCTTGGGGCCTCTTGGAGCTCTTGGGAGCCTTCGGGGCGCTCTTGGGGCCATCTTGGAGGAGATCGATCAAAGAAGAGGGGGTCCCCAATTAGCGTTGCCCCTCTAGAGTGCCTCGAGTCGCCTCTTGGGCCCCCCAAGAGGCCAAAATCGTTCCAAAACCTATGTAAAATCAATGTTTTTTGCTTTCTCGCCTTTTCGCTCTTGGAGCCGTCTTGGGCCATCTTGGGAGGCTCTTGGGGCCTCTTGGGGGTCTCTTGGCAGCCTCTTGGAGGCTTCTTGGGGGCCTCTTGGGGCCTCGTGGGGCCGTCTTGGGGCGCTCTTGGGGCGCTCTTGGGAGCCTTCGGGGCGCTCTTGGGGCCATCTTGGAGGAGATCTATCAAAAAAGGGGGGGTCGTATATTAGCGTTGCCCCTTCTAGAGTGCCTCGAGTCGCCTCTTGGGCCCCCCCGAGAGGCCAAAATCCTTCCAAAACCTAGGTAAAATCAATGTTTTGTGTGTGTCTCGCCTTTTCGCTCTTGGAGATGTCTTGGGCCATCTTGGCCGCCCCAACGACCCGCGGAACGCCCCGTCCAGGTCAGTGGGGAGGGGTAAGGGGAGGGGTAAACCCCTCCCCGAAGGGGAAGAAGGGGGTTGGCAGAGGAAACTCCCTAAACCACCTACGCCCTAAAGGGCTGGTGGGACTCTACTGGAGTGCCGACGGATCCAATCCGCGGCAACTGCAACTCTTATCCGAGCCCAGACTCTTACGAAACCTTGGTCGGAGAGCGAAAGCAAAGCACGCGCCACGACACGTCCTGGACCAGTAGCTTTTCTGGCTGAAAAAGAAGCCACCGCCGTCTTCACCATGTCGATGGTGATGTCAGGTAGCTGCGGCCAGGAATGAGCGTCTCCAGGTAACTCAAGCCGGTTTAGACGATGACACTTCCAGATCTTGGCCAAAGGAACCATCTCGCGATCACAGACACGCCAAGGTGAAGCAGTGCTCGATCGGTCCTGCCAGGAAGAGAGGACCTCCTGCAACTCCTGAGTCTTGGTGAGCTCGCGCGCTCGACTTGCACCTCGCTGAGAGCTGTCTCTGGCAAACTTGACCCAAGACTTCTGCTTATCTGAAACAGCCTCATCAAAACGCGCCTGGCAGCACTCGACAGTCTCGCTGGCAACCTCCACGAAGTCGCCCCTGCCAAAAACACCGATGCCGCCACAAAAAAAATGTCTGACCCGCTGCTCCAGATGAGACAACACAGAGCTCGTGCGCTGAATCTTCTCAAGATTACAATAAACTGCGCCAGCTTCCTGAAAGTGGTGGGCGAACGCGGGCAGGGCAACTCCGACAAGTGCAGCTCGTTGAGAGACCTCTGGATGCAAGCCCTGACGCCCACGGGGCGATTGGCCCACCGAGCAGCAACTTGCATCGCCAGCGCCTGAGGACCAAGCCGAGCGCAGCGACCCAGGGGCACCCACTTCACCGTCTTCAGCTCCGTCACGACCTCACCAGCACGACCTTGATACTGCTTGCGCCCTGGACCGACAACGTCGCGCCGATCCAGCAGCTCGTCCTCCACTGTGGCGAGCACCTTATCCCAGGCTGGAGGCAAGTCCTGCGCGCCCGAGACACTTCTGATAGCCGCAAGCGCCGGTGCCCAGTCCCCCACACTTCTGGAGCAGCCAATCGGCGTCGACGCAGCGATACCCCTCGGCACGACGGGCAGCCGCACCCTCATGCCCAAGTCCTCAGCCGCCAACTCCATGTGCACTGGAAAGTGAGGCGCGGTAGCGCCGTCCTCCTGTACCCCAGGCTCTCGAACACGACTTGCATGGGTCGAACCGATAAGGTAATAGTCGATGATGAAATGCTTCTCAATGTCCAACTGAGTCGACCAAATAGATTAAAAGCGCAACCAGCCCGCCCTTGACGCCCCAATGGATGCGAGCGCCAACAGGACGTCCAGGAATGATGCACTCGTGGTAAACGGCGGCGCTGTAACTGTCATCGCCAAACGCGCCTGCCTCCCACGTTGATGAAGCCAGGGCAGGAGCCCAGATGCCCACGAAGCCGAAGTCCGCAACCTCGCGCTGAAAGCTGGCGAGGCGATCGTTATCCAAGATATGATGTTCCTGCAGCGTGATGACCTGCGCATCTGAAGGTAGCGCCTCCAGACAGCCTGAGAACGAGCCCCAAGAAGTGGCATTGATTGTAGTGATAGTACTACCTTGTCCCATGACTGGCCACATCTTACTGAGAGTGAGCACCGCAATCAACTTAGAACACCATGAAGCCACCCTGCGCCAAACGCCGAGCCCGCTCCCGCAGTTCCGACTCAGTTGCCCACGTGCCGACATGCTGCATGAGCTTCTGCAACTCCTCCGTGCCCACGTCGTCGGGCTTCCACTCCGGTTTGGAATCAGACGCGCGACCCGCGCCAGGAAGCTCGCCACCTGCCTGACCGCCAGCACCAAGGCCGCCACCACCAGCAGCAGCAACCTTCGGTTTCTTCGCGGCGATGAGCTCGTTGATCTGGCCATCGAGCCCTTCCGCGAGCCGCTTCTGAGCCTCGGAGTTGAGCCCGCCGCCCTCGATGAGCTTCGAGACGATGGATTCCAGCTCGGACGTCGAGATGCCAAGAGACGGCAGCGTGACCTCGTAGCCTTCCGCCGCCTCGGCAGACCTGCCGAGCTGCTTTTTGCAACGTGCCCAGCTCGCCCTCCAACTCGACCTGCTGCTTCTGCAACTGCTCGACCAGCGCGCTGGCGTCAGTGACCGCCTTCTGCGCCTATCACGCTGTGACACAGCCCGCACCTGTGCCTCCTTCGCCTACTCGATCTTAGCCGCACCAGTCTTAACACGATTGGCCAGCGCGTGCACCTGCGTGTGGAGCGGCTTCGAGTTGAGCAGCTTTTGCCGCGCCTCCGCGAGGTGCTGACCCAACAAGCGCTGTTGCTCCTCCGCCCACGAGCCGACCCCCGTCTTCGCGATGGCGAGGTTCTGCTCCAGCAATTTGACCTTCTCGGCCAGCTGCTCCTCCTCGGGCGGGGCGCCTTCAGGAGGGGCCCCATCGACCTGCATGTCGGCAGTAGAGTTGCCGCCCGTCGTCGCCGACTGCTGCTTCTGCTGCCGCTTGAGGTTCTCGATCTCCGCTCGCGCCTCCTGCAGCGCACGCTCCAGCTTGGGTTTCGGCACAGCCGCCGCCGCGGGAGCATCGCCGCCTCCCCCGCCCGAGCCTAGCTTGAGCCGAGTGCTAGGGCCGCCTGCTGCTGAAACGTTCCCACCGAACACATCCTTCTTAATCTGCATCCATGACATTTGAGACTGCTGCCCCGACTGAATAGCTTCGCACCAATATGCTTACGCAAGCGAGAGCGACAATGCCAATATGAGCGCACCTTTGCGCTATTGCCCATGAGGCTGTACAGTGCGGCAAGGGGTGCGGGACGGACCGCAATACACTATGAGGAGTGAGTCGGTGGTGACCCTGAAAGCTGTCGGAGGCCGCTGCTTCCCCCACGCCAGAAGACTCCTGCCCTGAGCAAAATGCTACGGACTTGAGCCAAAATGGCTACGGAGAAGAGGAGGAGGAGGAGGAGGAGGAGGAAGGGGAGGAGGAGGAGGGGGAGGCGAAGGGAGGAGAAAAAAGGGGGAGGATTAGGAGAAGGAAGAGGAGGAGAGGGAGGAGGAGGAGGAGGAGGAGGAGGGGGCGGAGGAGGAGGAGGAGGAGGAGGAGGAGGAGGAGGGCAAATGGGCTCTGCGCGCCGCCGAGAAGTTGGCGTTCGTTCCTCCTGGCGCCTCCCAGGAATCCGAGGGCGCCCGGCCGCCGGTGGCGCGCTGCGGGCGTTGCGGCGGTCAGCTTGGAAAGTGGCCCCGGCGCGGCGAGCCAGAGATGCAGGTGCAAGGGGTTGCAGCTCGAAAGGGGCAGGTCAGCGCGATGGGCTGGATGTATCGGCGGCACCCGTACTCGCCGACGTTGCGGACGAGCGTCGCGCAGGCCAGCCTGAAGCAGATGAGGAGGCCTGTTGGGGTCCACAATGTAAGGGAAAAGTCAACACTGCTACGGAGAGGCGAAGATGGATATGGCCTTCAGTTCACCGCGATGTACATGCACACGGAGCCCGCCCAATCTATCGGGTCCGAATACGTGTGGACAGTCGTGAACAGGACAACGCGTGCCCTCGTTCGGAATAGATGGCACCGGGGTCGTTGCGCACGTGCTGCTGCTGAAGCTTTGCCTACCTCGTTCCAGGACGCTAATTGACGGCCGCGTTCAAGTTCACGACCATCTTGCTGTGAAGACGGTCAAGGCTGTTCTGCCCCTTTGTGCATTATGCTGTCGATCGTTCGATGGGAATAGTAAATCCTCCCGGCAAATTGCATTAGCGCTGAACCCGGGCAAAACAACAGACCTATGGTGCAAAAAAGAATGACCGGAAACGAGAAACCCAATATGCGAGGCGGGGGGATCGCCAACTGGCTCTCGGGAGCGTGACGATGGCCTCGGAGCTGCTACGCCATTTCAGTGACGGAGCGTCCCTCCTACTAGATGAAACGCCAAAAATCTTTAGGTATACAAGCTGTGCCCCCTCCGCTTGCTCCTTCCCGCCTTCGCCCTCCTCCTCCCCCTCTGATCCGCCTCTTCACCCTCCTCCTCCTCCTCCTCCTCCTCCTCCTCCTGCTCAGGGGAGGACTACCGGAGAGATGCAAAGGCGTGTGAGATGACTTGCTGTCCCCCTCCCCATTTCCCCCTCACCTGGGATCTGAAGTCCGATTAAAAAAGAGAGGGGGCCAGGGGGGGTCTGGGGTCCTAGATGCTCCCCCTGGGGCCTCCAGAGCCTCCCTTTCTGACATCCGTTGCCTCCAAGATGCCCAAGTTTCATCTAAGCTTGCTCAAGCTGGGCTCAAACACGCCAAGGAGGCCTCAAAAACAACCAAGGTAGCCTCAGGACGACCAAATAAGCCTCCAAGACGCCCTCGGAAAGAGGCCAACAGATCCCCCATTCATTGGGAAAACGTGCACTTTGAGCAGATTAACCCTTTTGGTTTTGTACAGCGTCCAAAGCGGCCCAAGAGGCCCCCAAGATCGCTCCAGGACGGCCCGACAGGCTGCCAAGAGGGCCCCATGATGGCCCAAGAGAGCCCAGAGACAGCCCAAGAGGCGCCCAAGACGGCCAAAGAGGGCCCCAAAACAGCCTCAAGAGGGGCCCAGGAGGGGGAACCCGAACTGGCACCTTGAGCCCTCCGCCCCAAGAGGATCCCCGAGACCGCCAGCAGGCGCTCAGGCTCCCAGTGGGTCGAACAGGAACCCCACTTAGGCCCCCCACTTAGGCCTCCCCCGTGGACTCCGCTTCGCGTCCAGGGGGCCGGCGGAATGGCGCGAGCCGCTTGAATCGGAGGGGGGCAACAATCGGACGTGCGGCCATTTTTGTCCGTGCATCCCACGATGGCTGCGCGCCATAGCGCGTCTATGCTGGTAGATGGTCTGTGCTGCACTGGTCTGACATCGCAGCTGTACATAGAACGTCGGAGCAAAAAATGCGGACCCGTGGCTCCAGACAGCGCCATCGGCTAAGCAGAAACTGATCGCGCGGACTGCAGCGGGGGAGGTACTGACAGCTCCTAGTCAACCTCCTCCATCTTCGATGCCTCGTCTGCGGCGCCCTCGACTTCCTCGAGAGGGGGCAGGTCCTCGTCGTCCCCCAGGCCCTCGTCGTCATCGTCAATGCTGAGGCCAAGCTTGATCATGCGGTGGATGCGCCCTGCGAATTGAGTCGGCTCGTCCAGGTTGAAGCCAGAAGTGAGCAGGGATGTGTCGAAAAGAAGCCAGATTAAGTCCTTAACCGTCTTGTCCGACTTGTCGGCAGACGCCTTCTTTTTGAGCTCACACATGATGGAGTGCTTGGGGTTCACCTCCATGGTCTTCTTGGAGACCATGTAGGAGGTCATAGAGTTATCCCTTAGGGCCTGCGCCTTCATAATGCGCTCCATGTTGGCGGACCAGCCATATTCCGAGGTTGTCAACACGCAGGGCGAGTCCGCCATGCGCGAACTGACCACCACCTTCTCCACCTTGTCGCCCAGCACCTCCTTCATCAACTTAGTCAGCGGCTCGAATTCCGCCTTCAGCTCCTCGAGCTTCTTCTTCTCGTCCTCGTCCTCAAGGTCCAAACCTTCCTTGGTCGTAGACTTGAGCTTCTTGCCGTCGAATTCCTTCAGCTGCTGCACGGAGTACTCATCGATGGGATCGGTCATGTAAAGAACCTCAAGACCCTTCTTGCGCAATGTTTCCAGGAAAGGCGAGGACGACGCCGCTGCGATGCTCTCCCCCGTGATGTAGTAAATGTCGTTCTGCCCCTCCTTCATGCGGTCCACGTACTCCTTCAGGCTGATCATCTCATCTCCAGACTTCGAGGTGTGGTAGCGCAAGCTCCACGACCTTGGTGCGGTTAGTGGAGTCTTCGTGCACGCCAAGCTTGAGGCACTTGCCGAACTGCTCGTAGAACTTTTTGTAGTCATCCTTCTTCTCAGCGATCTCCGCGAACATCTCGAGGCACTTTTTGACGAGGTTCTTCTTAATCACTCGCAAAATCTTGTTCTGCTGCAGCGTCTCGCGGGAGATGTTCAGCGGCAAATCCTCGGAGTCAACCACGCCCTTCACAAAATTGAGCCACTCGTGCATCAGCTCGTCGCAATCATCCATGATAAAGACGCGTCGCACGTACAGCTTGATGTTGTTGCGCTTCTTCTTGGACTCAAACAGGTCGAAGGGTGCCCGGCGCGGCACGAAGAGCAGCGCGCGGAACTCCAGCTGGCCCTCAACGCTGAAGTGCTTTACGGCCAGGTGGTCCTCCCAGTCGTTGGACAGTGACTTGTAGAACGAGGCGTATTCCTCGTTGGTCACGTCTTCGGATTTGCGCATCCACAGCGGCTTGTTCTTGTTAAGCTGCTCCCATTCGTGGGATACTTCCTTGACCTTCTTTGTCTTTGTCTTTTTCTCCTCCTTCTCTTTCTCCTCGTCGACCTCCTCGATCTTCGGCTCATCGCCTTCTTTCTCGTCCTTCTTCTCCTCCTCCTCGTCTTCGGAATCCGTAACTTCCTTCTCCTTGGACTTCTCCACGTATAACTCGATGGGGAACCCGATGAACTCCGAGTGCTTCTTGACAAGATCCTTCAGGCGGCGTTCCTCCAGGAATTCGGACTGGTCCTCCTTTAAATAACAAATGATCTTAGTGCCGCGCTTGATCTCCCCGTGCACCATCTCTGTGTCCTTCTGCACCGTGAAGGAGCCACCAGCCCCGGACTCCCAGATGTATTGCTCGTCGTCGTTGTTCTTGCTGATCACGCGCACCTTGTCCGAGACGAGGTACGCGGAGTAGAAACCGACTCCGAACTGCCCGATCATGGAAATGTCGCCGCCGGCTGCCATTGCCTCCATGAAGGCCTTGGTGCCAGACTTGGCGATGGTGCCGAGATTGTTGATCAATTCGTTTTTGGTCATCCCGATGCCGGAATCCTCGATCGTGATGGTGGAATTGGTCTTGTCGGGGACGATCTTGATATAAAAATTCGGCTGGGCCTCGATCTTGTCAGGATCTGTGATGGACTCGTATCGGATCTTGTCCAAGGCATCTGACGCATTGGAAATAAGCTCGCGAAGGAAGATCTCCTTGTTGGAGTAGAAGGTGTTGATGATCAGGCTCATGAGCTGCTGAATGTCAGCATTGAATGCGAATGTCTCTGCCATGGTTGCAGTGAAGGTTCAACGACTAGGAAAAAAGCCTGCAACAATCTGCACTGGCGGCGAAACCGCAAGCGAACGATAGCTTGAACCAAGATGGCTTGAGCGAAAATAGGTACGGAAATCGGGCGCGCGGACGTGAACCGCGTGCTTTTAAGATGGGGGCCGTGGTCTTCTTCCGCATGGGCCCTGGCCCCCAAGGACATCGGAAAGGGGGTCAGCAGGCACTTGGGGGGGGTCCAAGACGGTGCGGTGACACGACGTGCGGCGACCTCAGAATCCCCAGACGCCCTCACCGCACGGCCGCCACTGCACGGCGTGGGGACCTCGGAGGCTCCAGCCGCCTGAGGCGTCCTCGGAGAACGACCCGAGTCCCAAAACCATACGGGCGCTCCGGATCTCAACTGGCACCGCGTGGATCGCCCAACCTCGAGAACGATCGGCGGTGGGGGACGTTAGGGGGGACCCCGGCTCAGGGGGGGGGGGGGGGGGGGAAATGTCGAGATTGAATCGGTGATACATCTCCGATAGATTGGCGATAAGCCCCCGATGGCGAATCCGCATCGTC